TTTTCACAATGCTACATGATCAGCTATCTGCAGTTCTGCACTGTTGAATATCTGTAGTTGAGAGCAACGTTTTGCATCATTAGGTTTATAAATGTCTGTAAAACCCTTTTAAAATATTATCCATTAGTATATATTTGCATTAGTAGCAAGTCGGTTTACTATGAATTTAGGCATTTATGAAAGTATATATGATGATGAACTTCGCTGTAGAAGGATCTGTGCTGCAACAACGATGTATTTGGAAGCCAAGGCCCCGAGAAGAAGCTTTTGAAATATATGAGTGTTTGAACAAGCGGAAATATTTTGATCTTTTTGAATATTTTACGCCGTGAAAAACCAAATTCTGCAGCGTTGTTTACGTAGAGCCGTCAACCTAAACTACCACCACCCATGCCACCCAGAGGTGCTAATGTAGGCGCTTGCATGAAACACAAAGGAGAAACGGAAGAGATGAATGTGAAGGAAAGTCTATTTTATTCTGCTTAGTTGGAAATATAACTTACCTTCATGAAATAGATACTACTGTAACATGACCTGTTTCGAGCTGCTAGTGTGCAATCTAACCCAGCGTACAACAGAGAACCGAAGAAGCGCTTAGCAGCTTTCTACAGTTTCAGCGAATTCATCAAAAAGAAGAGTTAATTCGGTTTGTTCGTTAGGCTGCATTGACTCTTTGGTCAGGAGTTGAGTAGATAAATGCTGCAGAACTGCACAGGCAAGGGCCCATCGTCTCTCAATTTGCCCCCGAGCCCCCGGTGCTGCTGCGCGCAGAAGAAACAACTCGCCGAGGTATTTCGATTCTATTGCAGCAGTATCTGAAGTCAAAAGCCTAGGAATGCAAAACTAAAGCTTTTTGCTTTGATTCTGCTGCAGTTATGTTGCTAGTAAGCAGCGGCAGAGTACCCAGGAGCTGAGCCCACTCACTCCTTGCTGGAAAGCTATCGCCATGAGGATATTCTTGCAAAGCATCGGGCGTTCCAATGCAGATGCAGCATCAACGTCATCGTAGTCGAGATATGCAGCACCAGTGTTAGCGCAATTCACTGGGGAATACGCTACACAAAAGTCAAAATAGTTAAGAAATTAAACATTAAACGTATTGTGCTTGAGAGATGTCAACATTAAAGTTATCGTACTGCAGTACACCC